CAGTGATGTCAGTCTTGACCAGGTGTGGTGAGCACACGCCAACATCCTGCTCCGTCCTCTGCCATGCGCACATGCCCTCAGGAAGCTGCAGCCGACACATGAAGGGAAGGTGTTGCATAAGCAGTCCTAATGCACCAAGAGGCTGACTGTAGCCAAAGGATCACATGAGTGTTGATGTAGGAGACCCCAGGGCAATGGTCTTCATCTAGCCAGAAGTCAAGAGAGACACAAGCAGCCAGGTTATTGAGTGTGAACTCTGGGCAGTGCATCCCATAGCACCACCAGACGCCCGAAGTCACTGGACTGTAGTTAACCCACCGGGGGCCCCAACGTGCCATTTCCCCCCTTTGGAACAAGCTCTCTTCTGGCCTTGCTGTTGCTTGTTCCCTCCCTGGCCCAAAGCATTTCTAGGTCAATCAGCAGTCTGTAGTAAATGTTCATGAAGGCCAATCAAGCATGGCCTAAGCCTAACTGCTTGCAAATGGGCCCAAGAAGGTGGCAATTCTCAGTCTAGATCCTCACCTGGAGAGATCCAAGGCACGCAGCCTTGCCACGCTGAATCTTAGAATAGTGGCCTCCTTCCTCTGCACTCAGGATGTGTAGAACCAGGTAACTTGGGATAGATCACTCTGAGCATATCCCAGAAGCCTGGGAGCTGGTGCCAGCAACTCTCCACTGTGACAACCAGCAGTGCCCAGACTTGGTGTCCCACAGACAGTGCTCCCCCTATTTATTGCCAAGTGTACCAAATGATGGCCCCATCAAGTGGGACAGGACGGGAGTGCAGCCCTTACGAGGTCTCTGAAACTCCTCCTGTGAGGTGTGCCGACGGCCCTCAAACTTTGGCCCTCTACAGTTACAGGGACCCTGTTCAAGGACTCTGCTTGAACAGTAGTGCATTCTTTGATGAGCTCTGGTCTTTCAATCAACGTTAGGGTTGTTCTAAACCAACAGAGGTCTCTACAGTCACCCAAGGTACTTTCATGTCTCCTCCATTTTTCAGGTGGATGGAAGTCATCCGAAGTGCCACCAGCTCGTCCTCCCGGGCCCACATCTTGAGTCACAAAGAATCTCACCTGTATTGATGGCTGGACACACTGGTTGTTCCAGCCAGGGCTGCTTTCTTGGAGGATAGAAGGAAGCCTAGGAAAATCCACACCTGTCTGAACACACTGAAGATCCGCAGTGGCTCCCGCCCCTCCCTCCACAGGCCTGTCTCCTTGTCCTCCCCAGCACTCATCTCTTTCCCCTCCAGGCCTGGGGGGAGGGCTCGTCTTGCCATTCTCACGGGGGCGCTTTAGCTTGTGCCAGTATTGAGACATTGTCATCGAGTGCCAAATGCCAGTCTTTGCCGCGCAGGCGCACCCCATCCGCTCACCTGGAGACCCAAGTGCGCTTCTTTTCTGAGGGAAGGATTGTGTTCTTCTCACCTGCAGACTGCTATTTCCCAAAATGGGGTTTTCCAGTGTCTACAACACATGGCGCAGTCTTAAGCGAATGAGATCATTTTTGGATTTCATTTTTTTTTCCAATCTTTCTACTTTTATAATAGGACATTGGTAGGACTCACTTTCCTTGACTAATAAGCGATTTGTGGCACACTCCGTTCCCCCGAAGAGTTTGGCTCCAGTGAGACCCTGGTTACCAGACCTATTTCCTTGGTGGAAGTTGACCAAATTGTTTGATTCTTATTTACAAACTGTAGTGGGGTTGTTTGCTGTTAAGAGAAGCAGATCTCCAGTGCAATACCTGGGCGTCACTGTCCTGTGCGTGGTGTGTACAGCGGGGGCTCTTAGGCTGTGATGTTTTACTGTCTGTTTCACACGCATGAGAAGCTGTATGTCGTTGCCTGGGGCCATTTGTGCTGTTCCGTTGCGGGGTATTGAGTGAGCTTCGTTGAGAAGCACTGTATGGTAATGGTACGTAATCCCAGCCCTGGTGATTGGACCCAATTCCTCCTGACGCCATGTTTTGAACCTGCACATTCTCTAGTAGTATCTATCACGCCTGTCTTCAGTCTTTCTCTTTATACTCATTCCTTCTGGGCATGGGGTAGACAGGATGACAGTCCACATCCTGTACAGACTCCCCTAGGGACCTGGCTGCCAAACACTACCTGAGCCTCCCGGTGGACAACTGTTTGCCTGTTCTCTAGGGTGACTGGGTGGCTGCCATTCCCTTCATGCACACAGCCCTCTACAATGCAAGGTGGCCAGATCAGCACAGTCCCCTCCCAGTGCCTGACACCCCAGCAAGGGACATCGTACCTGAGAAACAGACCCACTGATGTCAAGGGGCTGTGGCTGGCATCCCTGACTCACAGATGGATGAGGGGTGAGATGTGTTAATCATTTGCCTTACAATGTACCCGATGGTTCTAAGTACTAACAAAAGGGAATAAAAATACCTCATGCCACAACCCAGCACACAGAAGTCTGAAGGCAAAACCACCACCTTTGTCTTGTCTTTGTGAGCGGGCAGAGGGCGGTCGGTACTGGGTGGACGTGGGAGGGGAAGGGCCCCAGGCATGGTGCTGAGGAAATACAACATCCTGGCACAGTGGTGAGTAAAGCCTTGGCCAGGAAACACGCCCAAGTGAGAAGGGGGTTATGGATCTTCACCATCTGCAGACACTACTGTGAATCATCCAGGGGGACACCCCCCCCCATCACCAGCACCACAGTGTTGGGAGCAGGCTCCCTCTAAGTCACCAAATTCCTGAGGGCTGGAGACAAGATGACTTTCTTCAGCACGTAATTCCAGATTGTCTGCTGGTCATGTGGTTCCCATGTGACTGGCACTTCTGGCCCCCACACAGCGGCACAGTGGCTAGAAGAGTCTGGCAGCCCCCCAACACACAAGACACAACCACCACTTCTGAGAGCTTTATTGACCTTGGATGACAGCGTGAGTGCTCGGGAACTCTCTGGAGCGCTTCCACCTGCAATGCACAGTTGATAGCAGAAACACAGAAGCCAGGTTTTTTAAGAAATATAATCCATATAAACCAATTCCAGGTTTTGCCCAAGGAAAGTATAAAACACTACATAAAGAACCAAACCAGAACTTTGTTGAGCAACTTGAGAACAAATCGCGGGCTGCTGCTGTGAGGAAACCCACCTACTAGGAAGCCCGATCTCCCACACTGCACTGGTGGGTCCACTCACGCAGGGCGTCACCCCCATGTGAGCAGTAACTGGAAAAGGCCATCCGTGAGCTGACATGGTGAGCACACCTGTGATCCCAGCACTCAGGAGGCCGGGGATCCTGAGTTCCTGGCTAGCCTGAGCTACAAAACGACAGTGTCTCATGAACCAGACCTGAGTCACCAAGCACTCGGCCTGCCTCACTGCTTCACGGCACTCAGACGGTGCCATCGGCACCATCAGAGGCTGTGCCTGTGAGCTGTGAACAGCCTGAGTGTGGCACTGAGGGACTTCTGGGTGATGGCAGGCAGGTGCCCGTGGTGGTTCTGAGATGGGCCCTGCTCTGAATTAAGGACTAGACTGCCAACTAAACGATACATTCACAGATTCATCTACTTCTGTGCTGGAAGAGACTAAGGCGATCCCCTTTTAAACTGTCAAACCCACACCCCCAAGGAAGTTTCCAATGAACTCCCAAAGAACCATGTGTTGCTTCCGCACACCTTGTAGTCCAGTGACTGCAGGAGCTGCCCAGTCACACCATAAGCACACCACCCTTCACCAGAATCTAGTCCACACAGCCAGTGTTAAAGACCGATGTCAGGCATTGCAAGGAAAGCCCAGAGGGACTGACCCAGCACACACCAAGTCCTGGGCTCATGTCTCAACACTGCAGAAGAAGAAGAAATCAAAAGTCGTATGACTATCCAATTGTAAACCCAAGAGCTCTATCCACCGGAGGTACCTGCTGTCCCCAGGGACGCTCTTCAATCAGACAGCACACTCCACGGAACAGACTCACCTGAGTGACTCCTGCAATAGCAGCCTTTGGTTTACGCATCAGGCCTCATACCGGCCAACACACAGCACTCCCATACAGAAATCTCCAGGAAACACAACACGTTCTCACACTTCATTGTTTATAGAATAACAGCACTGGGGCCAAAGTGATGGCTCAGCAGTTAGGAACACTGGCTGCTCTTGCAGAGGACCTGCATTCAGTTCCCAGCATCCAGTAGCAGCTTACAACTACCCATCACTCCAGTCCAAGGGATCCAACACTCTTTCTGGCCTCCAAGGGCACTGCACACATGTGATGCACATGCAGGCAAAACACCCATAGACTCAAAAAAATAATAATAATAATCAAACCACAGGAGCAACTGTGGTTCTATTTCCCCTATCCAAAATGTATCCGTGGTTGAAATAATTAATCCAACCCAAATCTACTTCTGGTAGACTATCACTAGACCCCCTTCTAATCTAAATAATCATCTCACAGCCAACACCTCCAGCCTTGGCCTGCCCTTCCTGTAACGAGGATACCACACACCAACAGGAGGCCAAGCAAACGTCCCCAAGTTCACCCAAAGTTCCTGCTCCCAAAACCATCTTCGAGACCTAGTGCTCCAACAAGAGGACAATAGTTAGCATCAACAAACGAAACCACAACAGAGATCTGAGAGACTGGCGAGAACTGCCCTGAGGACCCGGGCCTTCCCACCCTGTCAAGTGCTGCTCTGCTGTACAAGAAGACACAGCCTGGCTGACAGCAGCAGCAGACCCCAGCTCCTGGGAGAGGACGGAAACCACCAGGCAAGGCCTCAGCAAGGCCTCAGCCGTCCCACAGACCCGTAGCACTGACCACATCTCAGTGACCAACCACACAACTGTGACCACATCTCTGTGACCAACCACACAACTGCACAGGGTGTTAACCTATTTGGCTTTTTGACATCTGAGCACTTTTCCCTGGAGTCTCAACATACACACATTTACAACACCACACATGTGCAGAGCAGGGGCTCCATCCGCTCTGCAGAGCCATGTTTCAAGAACAGTATGCAAAATGAGTGAGTTATAAAATTTATTTGTGTAAGCATTCAGACACTTTCAGGTGGGAAGATGATATGCAGATTCTACGACAAGGCTGAACAGAAGTGTCGAGAGGACGGTACATCTGGTGTGGACACAGCAGTAGCACAACTCAAGATTAGATGAGAGCGCTTCACCTGGGAGAGACTTCAGAGAAGAACTTAAAGCTCTGAGACGAGATATGTTCCAATTGAAAACACTAAGAACAGTACCATCGATGAGAAAGGAAAACTTCCAAGTGTACCAAAGGGGCGTAGGGAAAACGAGGGGGAATTTGCATCTGTTGAGGTACAAACAGGAGTGTTCCATTGGGGAGGGGTTAATTATTATTAATGACAGACCCTGTAAATACAAAATAAAATCCAAATCACTGGTCACAGAATTCAAAATTTACATGTAATAAAGGCAAGGCAATAGACTCAAGTTCTGCCTGTCAAATATTTACCCCACAGACAGTATCTACAGAAGCACTTGGCCAATGTGTACACAGTGATTCCTTATGCACGCCAAAAGGTTCCGTAAAAATGACGCTATATACAAATCTGTACACTGATCCACCAGAGCGACTCTCCGTCCCCGGGGGAGGAGCTGTCGACATAAAGCAGGGTACCTGAGGTTGCGTGTCTTCAACTGCCTTGTCACAATCCAAATATACATTTCAGGGGGGTGTTAAAGATACGTTCTTTGAACATGTGCACTATGATTAAAATTAAAAACAATAAAAAAATAAAATAATTGCTTGAAGGAGTAGACCCTCCCCACCCATCGGAAAGACTCCATCTGGCTGTGGCGTGGTGAGGACTGGATCGCTGGGCAGGTGCCGGCGGCCGGGCAGGTGCCGGCGGCTGCAGGAGGGGCCTCCGTGACACCTCTTTGCAGAGTCAGCAAAGGCTCTCATTGACTTTTAAAGAAGGAAGATGAAGAAAGGAAAACCAAACCCAAATGCCAAAGGCATCTCAGTGAGCTGAAGTTCCTCCACCACTCAGAGAGTACCTAAGGGAAAAGCAAAGAGAAATCAGCACACATTATTTCCGACACCAGAGCAAAACTTCAAAGACCCAAAACTTCACATTCTTTACAGAAACTTCAACATCTTTAAAAAACCCACCAGTGGGGCGAGAGTCAGCAGTTTAACAGAGCTATTCTACGCGAGTGCATAATGAGCACGAGATTCTGTTCTAACACAAACACTCCTAGTACGTAAGAAGCAAGCCTATGTTCGGTCTCCCGGGAGGGGTGTCGTTAAGATAGCAAATGACACCCAGGATCGGCTTGTTTTGTGCTATGTGGTGCGGATGTGTGCACACGTGTGTGTGCATGCAAACCTTTGTGGGGCCAGAGGCCAACTCTCGGGAGCTTCCTCTATCATTCCCCGCCTTACTTTACCAGGCAGCGCATCCTACGGGGCTGGAGCTTCACCATTCTGGCTAGGCTGACTGGCCAAGAAGCCTCCAGAATCTACCTGTGTCTCCGAGGCCAACACCCCATCCCATGCTGGGATTCCAGCTGTGTACCATCACATGAAGCCTTTGTGTGGTGTTGGGGACTGATACTCAGGTCTTCTGTGTACAGGGAAAGCACCTTAGCCACTAAGCCTTCTCCAGGCCAGGATCTATTTTTGAAAGCTGGTGGTGAGCTCAGGGACACACACCCATGGTTAGTTTGAGTCTAAGCTCAGCAATTCTTTGGGACAGCAATATACAGGTGTAGGCCAGGTGAGCCACTTCCTAGCGGTAGTCCAAGACATGGCCCAGAGCAGCAGAGCGGGGTCTCTGTGTCTGCATCAACAGCCTGTGTATAACATCAGGAGGCAATATATTGAAAGACAGAAGGGATGGTAACAACTCGGTCACTAACTCTAAGACCCATGTATTTGTTTTCCCCCAAAAAAAGTCTGCACTGCCTTGCCTCTGAATGCTAAATGGTGTAAGTCGTGGCCAAGATTATTCCAGTCACTGCAAATGGACATCCAATCACAGGAGATGGCCAAGGACATATTTAAGGAAACTCGTCTCAAACACTCCTCCCAGAGTGCCTTTATAACACATTGCACATACTCAAAGTGTCCCACAGGAGCCTCAGAGCAGCTCACTGGAGCCACAGCATCGAAGACTCAAATGTCAAGAACTACAAAGGCCTCGATGCGGGTTGAGCTGCCCCTTCTGTGAGTGGATGCGCTGCGCTCACTCCAGGATCCCAAGTCACTGTGAAGAGACTCATGTGGGAACAAACGAGGGAGCAGCCTAGACGTCGCTCATGGGTCAGCACCGCCCTATGGCTGGTGGCCTTCAGCAACCTCAAGGAGGAAAACAGAGAGCCAGAGCCATGTCTGCAGAGACAAGATCAAGACCCCACCACGCATCTGACGACTTCTTCAAATCTGAGTCTGAACTGAGAAGATGTAGCCATATGTAACTCATACCAGACTTCAAAGGTTGAATACCAAAGAAAACAATGTAAAACATCTCACTTGTTCATTGTTTGTAATGATTATTATAAGTTAGCAAGGGAAATTATCAAATATATTAAAATTAACTGTTTGTTCCTCTTTACTATTTTGGTATAGCTTCTAGGAAATTAAAAATTCCGTGTGAGAAGGCTGGGGATACAGCTCAGTGGCAGAACACTTGCCTAGCAGGGTCCAGACCGAGGAATAAAGTCCCGGCCGGCACCACAAAACTTCCCCAGCACACACTGGCGGGGGAGCAGTGCTTTCAATGTAGCATCCAAAACAATCAGGATTTGGGGCCAGCGGGTAAAGGTTCTTCTGTGTAAGCCAGGCAACCTGACACCCGGGACCCACATGAGGGGAGGACCAAGCTGACTCCATACACGTACCATGGCACATGTATGTCTCCCCAAAAATAATTAAAGTAAATGAAATTCTTCACGTGGCTCTCCTCACATTTCTATTAGAGCTCGCAGATCAGGTGCCTCAACAGGAAGACCAAGAGGTCCAGAAACGGGACAAGGATCAACTAGGTGTATATACAGTGTGTATTCACAACGCCCATGCCTGAGCTACTGGAGAAATCAAGTCACGCATATCAACTACCCATAGAACATCAGGCAACTCTGGACCCAATGCAAAATCCTTGAAGGCGACAAAAACTTGGGGATGTGTGCCCGCCACCCAGCTATTAGGAGCTGAGGCAAGAGGACCAGGAGCTGAGGCCGGACTGCCAACAGGGCGGGCTTTGGTGGGGTCCAGGGCGCTCAGCAGACAACAGGTGTTTGCAGACATGCCTGATGACCTGAACTAGATCCCTAGGTCCAAAAAGGGGCATCAAAGAACCAGCTCCTGAGAGGTGTTCTCGGACCTCTGCCCACGCGTCTACACTTTAAATACTCCAAAAGCAGAAAACAAACTCGCAGGATAGTTAACAAATAACCAGTTTCTGGGGGTGGTTCTGTGTGGCTTATGACAAACCTCTTTAAATGAAAAACAAATGCCACTAGGAGGAGATGTGGAGTGACCTGCCGGGGTAAGCACAAGGCTGGTTTGAAGCTGTATTTTCCTTCATTTCTCTGATGGGCTGCTGCCTTTAGAATCAAATCGGGGCAATCTTAAAAGGACCACTCTCTCCTCCAATGGCCTGAAGACTGGGGCCACCAAGCAAACCACTTTATTCTTTAGCACTAACAGGAAGATGTATTCATCATGGAGGCTACGTGTCCAAAGCCACCAGGGCGGGATGGGAGCTCCCTGAGGCCAGAGCACAGACCCACAGGGAAGGCTCTAACATGGCTCAGAGTTCACTGCACTCAAGCCTCTGGTGCCTGTACATGGGTCAAACCCAAGTCCCAGTGAGCACTGCGAGTGGACTCCACCCCTGCTCACTAGACCACCGGAGGCGGAGGTGTTTCAAGGCCTCTTGCATTTCTCTGGCAGGAGCTATAAATGCAAGGCTCCGTGGTCCTTTCCAGACTCACTCTTTCATCTACACAGTTCAGAAGCAGCCTTCTCCCAGAGGCTGTGCTGTACGCCCGTGGTCTGGGGACAACAGCAACAGACAAGAATGAGCACCCGAGAAGTAGAGCAAGCTGCAGCCCGGGGCAGCTTCCGAGTCCGAGACGCCATACCAGCATGGCCAGGCGCCCTTCTACAACCCAGCTCCAGCCCAGAGCCGGTTACCTCTGCAGCCGCTGCACCAGCTGAGCCACCATGGTGTCCGAGATCCCAGGGCAGGCCTCTTCCGCCAAGTAGATGGCTCCCCGAAGCTCTTCTATTGACCCCAAGTTTCCTCCACATGCCTGGCTCTTCTCCTTCAGCTGAAAACGCACACAAGAGCAGTGAGACACACGCACAGACCTGGGCAGCACCACTCCGGCAAAGGACAACAGGCCCGATGCCGTCTCCGCCACCGCCAGGCTGACGAGGATCAGGCGTGAGCTCTGGCTGCTGAGTCACTCTAGGTCCCCATCTTAGGTCTCTGTGAACATTATGTACATATACAGCAAAAGAGGGTCCCCACCGGACTCCTCCAGGCCAGACCACAAACAAGTAGTTCTGCACACCTCCACACACGCGTCTCACGGTGTACACCTTCACACACACACACACACACACACACACACACACACACACACACACACACACACACACACACACGAGCCTGACGGTACACTCGAGTTTCCTCTCCTCACACTAGAAAGTGCTATCAACGCCTGCCACGTGCACTGGTTTCGGCTGGCAGCTCCCATGAAACCCATCAAAGCCCCACTGCTGACCTGACGGTCACTATGGGTTGAGGACAACTCAAGCACAGCTTTTGGGGTCAAGAGTGCTGTCACATGTTCTCACATAAACGTGGCACCCCGAGTTCTGGGACCCGGGCAACACCCTCCTCTGCTCCCAGGAGTCCTAGCTGAGTCTCAGGCACACCTCCCAGGCATGAAGACCACTCCAAGTCCTGTCCTGGACGTACTCAGAGCGTGGACGATGAACACAAGAGCCGCTCCCATCAAGGCTGAGCTCAGCTCAGGATCAAGGACCTCCCAGAACAGACTCCAGGGCAGCTGCAGACTCAAGACAGCAGCAGGTGCTCCCGAGTTCCCTCGTCCATCTTTGCAAATATGTCAGAAAACACTCAGCTTTGACTCTGCAGGCATTGAGAACAACCCAACCGAGCCCTGGCACCCTAAGAGCATCGGGCTCCTTGTCCTGTTTCTAATGGGCCATGGAGGGACCGGTCACAGCTGACACTGGAGAGGCCCACAGAAGCAGAGCACATTGCGACACTGTTTGCTAACACTCTCTGCCACCTCCACGCACAGCGTTTAGACTAATCTGCAACCTGCCACCCACCTGCCTCTGACCTGACCCGCACCTGTGTGTCTCAAAGCAGAAGCAAAGACAGAGAGCTGGAGCTCTCCCGCCCTCTCCCCGCCCGGGACTGGGCTAGATTCCACGGCCCCCTATCACTAATGTGCGGGGTCGACCCGGCACAGGCAGAGGAGCAGCAATGAGGACGTCACACACTCGTCTGATTACGCTCATGTGTTGAAGGTGACAGAGAATCATCTTCACTGAGCTGTGATGACTGTTAGGAGCATGGAATACTCACCTCTAGTTACGGCCTGTTCTCTCTAATGACCGTGCCTACTCAGGGGAGGGGCACCGGAGAGATTGCCTTCTCTTCTCTAGAACTTCCAGAACACTACCTCATTTCCGGTGGATTTGAGGTTGTTACTGAGGAATGATTTCAAACGTTTAAGCCCAGTGAAACCTACACAGCCCCTGACGAAGAAGGAAATCCACACAGCTTCCCCTACTCCCTGGCTTGGCTTACAGAAGGCAGGACCAGGACTAGTTGTCATGAACACAATAGACGCTGTGCCTACCTCTGCCGGCTGTTTTCATGCCCTACTTGTCCTGGCAGCCGCCCACAAAAGGACAGCCCTGGTCCCCTCTTCCTCCCTCCTACCCCCGCCCCTCCCCCCAAAAAAGGGCAGCCAGGGGTCTTACCTCGGCAAACAGAGGAGAAATAATTGTGGACAAACACTGAGAGAAAGGCCTCTTTGGGATGTCTTTCATCTTGGGAAGGAAAGAAAAGGGAGTCATTACAAACAGGCGACACCGAGGCGGGCGGGCGGGCAAGGACTCCACCACGGCACAACTGGACTCTCAGCTTCCCCCCGGAACAACTTGTGTTCACCAAGTGAGATGTCGAGGAAGGGCCACCCATGCAGCTGGGAACCCAAGGACATCTCTGCAAGATCCCAGGTGTGAACCTGTGGGTGTGAACCTGTGGGTGTGAACCTGTGGGTGTGAAGGAGCCTGCTGCCCTGCTCCGGGGAGGCTACAAAGCCAGCTACTCCAAGTAGCCACTGTATGCGAGGCCCCGTTTTTTTACCAGCTCTCTGTACTTACCTCCCTCAGCCGGACAAACTGTAACACCGTGTTCACACAACCTTTTAAAACCTAGCATTCTGTAAATTTAAGTGGCCATAAAAACCACCTCATCAAAATTAGGTCTATATTAAATACCAAACTCAAAATACTGATTTTTAAGGGCCTGAAATTAAAACTCCACCATAAAACCCAGGTATGTTGTGAGTACGTCTAACAGGCGCGCTCATCAGAGCATTCAGGTGTGAATTTCATTTCCACATCCAACTCCACCATGTGCTGAGGGTCGGGAGGTGAAGGGGTACCACTCAGCACCCACACTCTCGGAACCACATCTCCAAACCTGCCAATTCCTTGAGGGCAAATGCCACCAAGGAGCTGCTCTGAGGAGGCCCTCGTCCACTCCCACAGCCGGCGTGTCGAGCCACGGGCTGGTGAGTGTGGGCACGGGGCACGCGTGAGCCACATACCTTATTTCTCTCCAAATCTGACGCCTGGAGAGTCCCGTTCTCCAGATTCTTGGGATCTTTCTCCCGGATTGTGAAGATCCAGTCCCCAGAGTCACCGCCTCCGGACGCCTGGCCGTCTGTTTCCCTTCACACAGAAACCCCACCGAATTTACCAGCACGCCGTGGACCGCGCTGCCCAGCCCACTGCCCAGCCCCATTAAGTCCCAGCGCCCCAAGTCTGCAGCCCGCAGCACATCACACGAGACCGGAAGGAGCGTGGTCCCTGGGACTGTCCTGGTGCTACCACCGTCCACTGTCTGCCACCGCCACCGCCTCCACACAAAGGAGCCACACACCTCCTAAGGACCCATCTGCCACTTCTGTCAGTCTCTCTTGAACCTCAGTTTCTTTCCAGGTCCCTCTTTCCGGCCATAGCTAAAAAGTCCTCTCCTTTGCTCCCTTTAGGCCACATCCCATCACACCACACAGAGCTTCAAGTCCTGAACGAGCACTGCTCACTACCCATCGTCCCCTTCCCCGGCCTCACGGCCCCCTTATGGCCCGAGTGCTCTACACACTGCCTTGTGAGCAGGTCCCCCTCTCCGCCCGCCCGTTCTCGGGCCCCATGCTCCTCCTCAGCAGCATGACCCGATGCCAGCGCCTGCCCTGACGCCTCCGTCCTTCCCCAACAAGCCACGACGCTCCGCCTGGCTCTCACGCTCCAGCCTTACTCTGGTGCTGGCTTCCTAGAGGCTGACCGACCCCAGGCTCTGACCCTTTGTTCTCAGGCTCCAATTCCAAGGTCTGTTCTACAGCAGGGCATGTGTAAGTCTGCGTCTTCTGCCTGCTCTCCATCCTGCGCTCCATGCCGCAGCAACACTTTTAAGCTATAGATACGTCATCACACATTCCACAAGCAGCTCAAATTCCAACATGGCCTGCATCAAACTGTTTCTGACACTTTACCACTGTGACATGCTGCTGAAACCTGGGACAACTTCCCTGGCTCCTTTACCCAAATCCTTCACTGGGAATTAAACCCAGGGCCTCTAACATGCTAGCCAGTACTGAACAACAATCCCAGCACTCTGTGTCCATTTCATATTGAGACGGTTTCATTCACTTGCTGGGATTAGCTGGGATGACACCTCCACCCAGACCTCCTGCACAGCCTGGCTCCCAAGCCCTGCCCCCATTCTCATGCAGCCTGTTGCTGCCATTCTAATCTCCCAGCAGCAGCATCTGGGTCACCTGGTCAGTGGTCCCAACCTTGGCTATAAACAGTAACCTGGACCTTCAGACCTGGGTCTGTCCCAGAGGCTTGCAGTCCACTGTCCTGGCATGGAGACATGATGCTAGCTCTTGGCTATAGTGTGCAGGACAGTAGATCGGGCCTCCAGGTGCCTCCTTCCTCTCTTACAAGATAGCCAGGCCACCCTCCCTCTACCTCCTGTTTGGAGGGCTCCAGCTACTTCACACAGCAGTCAACAGAATGTGGGTGCTGAGCGGGAAACCCGCATCAGTGAGTGATGCCCCACATAGAGCTTGACACACTGAGGAGTCTCAAAAGCATTCTTTCTTCTCAGAACTGCATACAAGGACTTCGTCTGTCCGCTCCTTAAGAGCAGAGGGCTAATCAAGAGAAGGACGCCATGCCACAATCCTATGCATGTGTCTATTATACAAATGCCACTCACCAAAGAACCCCAAACAAGCCCATGTGTACAAGACAAAACTCAGCATCAGTGAAGAGGGGCAGGATACAGCTCAACCAGTGTCGGCCTTGGGTACATGAGGGATTAAACCATCATTTCCCAGTAACGCGAGCACACACTCACACGCACGCATGCACGCACGCACGCACACGCACGCACACACACTCCCACAGAAGCGGCAGGGCCCGACTGTCCCGACTCACACGTCTGAGTCCTCTGAGCTGGAGTCGTCGTGGCTCTGCTCAGCCTTCCACCTCTTGTACCTGTCGATGAGCTCAGTCAAGTAGGACGTTTTCTTTGCGTTGCGGATGATGAACTTGTGCTTCAGTAACTCCTTAGCAGTGGGTCTCTGGAAAACACACACGCCCAGATAACCTCGAGAGAAGTCCTCCTTCCTTCTGCTCCGCTCCACCCCAACCGCAGACAGACGTCTGGACTGAAATGCTCATCACCGCACCACTCAGCACTGGGCTCCACTTCGGGGCCTGCTTCTCCCACAGGCTCATTCCAGAAGAGCCGCTCCTTCACACTCAGGCCTGAGACTACAGCCACAGGGTGAATGTGACAGAGTTCCAACAAGGATGACCACATCCCACCAGAACCATTCAATCCAAGTTAAAAGAGCGAGCCTTCCTACCCAGTAACTCCACAAAGAACTTTGTAAGTACTGCCTGAGAGGCCCATCTCCTCGTTTACATGGTTCTGAGAGTGAGCATCTCCTGGATTATGTGGTCCCTCACAAGTGCTGACCAAGGGAATGTGTGTTCTTCATGACTTCCTATAGTGTTAGGCCAATACCACAAATTCATGTGAATTCAATGATTCAACTCATCTACAACAGGTTGGGGTAGGAGTCAGGAGAGACCCAACCGGGTTACCTCAGTCACCAGCGTTTCCTATTTAGAAAAGCAGGTGTGTGAACTTATCCCCACCCGAGTGCCTGGGTCCAACAGCTTGATCACCACCTGGACATGGTTTACCTTCACCGGAAGGGCGCACCAGAGTTTAGTCAGTGGTTTCCCCATCCACGGCACAAAGCTCCCTCAACATGCAGAGTGACCCACCCAGGGACAGGGAGCAAAACCAGAGGTGCCAGCCAGGCACACCACAGTCCCACCTACTCCAAAGAATCAACGTTTTTGTTTCTTTTTTCTTATCAAAAACAGCATGTTCCGCCAACCATGATCTCTGAGAACCCAGGCGGCCTGAGCAATCCTCCCCTCTTCATCCGCTGACTAGGACACTCCAAGCCCCCCAAGTGCGCGTATTCTCAGCTTTGCAGCCTTCTTGTCTGAAGGTGCAGGGGCAGGCCAGGTGGAGGGGTGGATCCCAGGAATAAATGCGCACTAGACGTGCGTTAGGAGGGTACAGACACACCTGGGTCTCTCTTCCCGGGTGCTGCTGTGCCTTGAAGGAGCCCATGATAGAAGCGATGAAACCGCCTGGGCCAGCATCACGGCCACACCCACCACCCCAGTGACCACACGCTGATCTGCTGACCGCAGCCTGCAGTCCCTCGCAGGGCTTCAGATCCGGATCAGTTCCTCTGCCAGAACTGGTACCCTACTGGAAAAACTACATGATGCTCTTGTAAAACTCATCTTTTCTCACCATCTTTAGACAAGAGTTCACGGGGACCCCTCATGAATATTCTTCAGGTTCAATGAAGCATTGATGTCAGCTAACTCTGCTCAAAGAAACCCAAAACAAGGCAAGGACACAGGATGCTACATGTGACACAAAACACACAGGCTGCTTTCAGAGAAAAGCCCCAATTCTTAGAGAAAAATGAGACAGAGCTCACAGAAGCCAATGCTGGGCTTTGCCACCACTGAGTAAACTCAGAAGGAAAGGGAGATGAAGCAGAGATGGTGGGCAATTGTGTGTCTCCTGGCACACGACAACTGGAAGCAGCATTTGCTTCCATTATTTTCAGGCCAGCCTCTGCTATTACTAAAGTAGCTTTCTAGTTTACAGCCTGACCTTTCTCTATAAATATTAAAAACTGATGACCTCACCCCAATACTAAGGAGAATATTCTTCAGGTATGAGGTGCTAGAAAATGTTAAAAAAAAAAAAAAGTAACTCATCTTACATCCCTAAAGGGTAAAATGACGACAACAGTCTCTGTAATTTAAAGAAATCAAACTCTTCTGCGAAGATGCGTGCGACCGTGGAGACAGCTGCCAGCAGTGACTGAAGCGATTCCAACAGAACAGATCCAAGCCAAGCTGAGACCACAGAAAGGGGCACTCACAAAGCTCGGCTCTTTGTTCAGACAGGCCTCCACAAACTCCTTCAGGGCTTTGCTGTAGTTCCCTTCCAGCGTAGGAGGGTTGTTCTTGGGGATGAGGAATAACACCTTCATGGGATGCAGCTCAGAGTGCGGCGGCTCTCCTCTGGCCAGTTCTATTGCCGTGATGCCCAGGGACCAGATGTCTGCCTGTAAGGACCAAAGCATCTTTGAGACATGGAGCAAGAGTACATTCAGACAAGCAGAGGGGGTGCGTGCGTGTGTGTGTGTGTGTGTGTGTGTGCGTGCGTGCGTGCGTGTGTGTACACGCTCACGTGTGTTTCAACCTCAGGCTCTGAAGGACCAGCATGCCTGTCAGGGGTGCTCAGTCGAGTCCTTGTAGCAGTGACCCAAGGACAGAGGGGCAGGAGCTGCCTGAGACCCTTTTGTGGAGCAGCTCCTGGTGCACAGCTCTTCAGATCCAGAGGCTGCCTTAGTTTCAACACCAGCTCTACAATCGAGGTCTCGTGACATTAGACAACTGCTTCCCCTAAGCCCCCCCCTCAATTTTCAAGAGGGAGCTGGTTACCAAACGGTATGTAAAGGGCCGACCACTGTGGCCAGAACTCAAAGCATTTTGTTGTTTGATTGCTTCTGCAGTGCTGGGAACTGAACCTAGAGCCTCGTGCACGCTGGGCCAACACTCTACCAGCCCTATAGAATGTTTATTATAAAACAGGCAAACACACAGACATGGAGAACATTAACAGAATGCCCCTCCACACACTATCACACAACCATGAACATCACTAGCACTTCCAGACAGACTTTATTTGTTATCACAGAACATTTTAAAATAAATAAGCTGCTAAGTCTAGGGGCCTGTAATCCCAGCACTCAGAAGACTGAGGCAGGAGGACTGTACAAGTTCGAGGCCCCCTAAAGCGACAGACACGGTGAATACTAGTGCTGCACGGCATGGTCTCACATCAGAGAGACACAGAAAAGCGAAAAGCGACCGTGGCATCTGCCACCCACTCCCCCATCCCGGGACTTCAATCGCTACCCACACGGCTTGCTCACACACTGACGTAAGATTAGCAACACTAGGAGTTCTCAACTGTAGTCTGCACCACCACCATGTGAGCAGCAGAGACTTTCCCTGGCAGTGTGGGGCAACAGCAGCCACAGGTTCCAGCAGCACTGCCACTGGACAAGAGGGAAAACTGGATCCGTGGAGGTGGTGGGCTGACCAGGGCATCCGCAACTCACTAGGAAGGACCTCAGTTGAGACTGGCAACAGGCAAGCCCATGAGGCTTTCTTTTCCTGATTACTGACTGATGTGGAAGGACCCAGACCACTGCCAGTGGTGCCATTACCCCTGGACAGGTGGCCCTGGGTATTTGAGAAAGAAACTAAGAAGCCACACGGAGCAAACCAACAAACAGTATCCCTCCACGGTCTGTGCTCCAGTTCCCATCTCCAGGTTCCTGCCCTGACTTCGTGAAGGACTGTCGATTTTAAGGTGAAATAACCCTTTCCTCCCCAAGCAGTGGTCACAGTATTGTCACAGCCACAGAACCCTAGCCAAGCACCCTGGTGACATCTGATGTGTTTCTCTATTCCCAGCCTGTGGATTCTGACTTGAGACTCAGACTCAGCCCTGCTTCCATCTGCCCAAGCCCATGTACCAATCACTTCCCTGCACAGTGGATTCCTTCAATGGTCACGGTAATGGAAAGAGCACAGCAGTCTTCGGGAACTACAGTCACCAACTCAAACGGAACGGAAGGCAGGAACCGTGGTGGAGAGAGGCACCTCTCTCCCGCCACTGCACCAGACTCATCACCAGTCCAGGCCCTGAGGGGCAGCCTACCATCTCCCTCACAGGACGCAAGAGAAGGCCTATTCAGATGACCACAGGACCGGGACAATTCCTGACCTTAGCCACTTGGAGTGGACATTCTGCAACCTTGTGAGTCCCAGAAACCCTTACCACCGTGCCCCAGTCAGAGCCATGGAGGCGGCAAGAAGTGAGGAAGTCATGCATGGGAATGAGACGCAGGGCAGTGGGGCAGGCCTGGCTGGAACGGGCCCTCTAGTCTGTGTGAGTGCTGACACCTGCCCCACACTCTCAGGCACAGCATGCCACCACCATGCTGACACCTACCCCACACTCTCAGGCACAGCATGCCACCACCATGCTGTCACCTGCCCCACACTCTCGGGCACAGCACGCCACCACCATGCATCCACAGGGCCTTTGGCAATGACCTCCATCCAGATCCTAGGCACCACACAACCAGCTCCGTTTGCCCCGTTACGAGAAGGCGTGGTGGTGGTCTCTGCTTCAGGCTCTGCTCTGGCTGCACCCAGAGGCTGAGAACTTGCTTTTGGAAGTGGAGGCTGAAAAAACAGAAGCAGCAAGGCCGAAAGGAGCTGGCCCTGCTTCCTCAGGCCACGCACATGGAGGGACCAGCGAGGAGCCCTGGTCTGCCAAGCAACTTGAGATTCCTCTTTGGAATTCCCTAAGCCCAATCAAGAACACCACGGTGTGATCCTGGCACTAAGGAGGTTGACCCAGAGGAACTGAAAGCTCAGGACCAAACTGGGCTACATAACGAAACCCTGTCAAAAAACCTCAACCGTGAAACACCTACACCCCGCCGGGTGGCAGACATGAGGCTGTAACGCTCTTCAGCCCAGCGTCCCTGTGCCCTTCCAGCACTAGCCTGGCTGAGCTGCCTTCACCGGGACCAGTGCAGTCAATCCCCTGCCTGCACCTGATGCCCACCAACAGACCTGGACACTGAGCTGGCACGTCCATGAATACCAAGCCGTTTGGCACGCAATCAAAGACCACAATGAAGATCCATGTCTAAACCAGTCTACCCTAACCAAAGTGGGCAGGAAGACAGAGACGCCTCCCCAAGCATTCCACCAGCAGCATTACTTCCTCTACCTCAGAACAAACATTAACTACCAGGGAAGGGGTGAGAGCCACAGTCCAAACAACCAACGTGAACTGCACCACAGACCATGACAGCAAGGTCAGGGGAGCTCTCTGGGAGACAGGGAAGGCGGTGGCCATGGGCAGAGTGGAAATGGGTGGCCTGGGCCCCAAGTCAGAAGGGCCGTGGTTGGAAAGTTCATTTACCACACCAACTGAAAGAGAGTGAGTGACAGGGCGGTGTAAGGGCCTGGATTCTGGTCTCTCTTCTACCAAAACTCAACATGAACACTGACGTCAACAGTGGACACACACCTACTTCCTACAAGACGGAGCTCGGGGAAAAGGCCCAGAGAAGACGGGTTTCAGAAGAGAAGCAGCCACAGAGGTAATCTTCTCCCAGAAGACCAGGAACCAACGAACAACAAATGCAGAGAGCTAACTGACTAACCTGAAGCCCCGGGGCCTGAGCGCCCACACCACAGCACGTCTGAGTTCACCAAACCAGCCCAATTCCCTCAAGCCAGAGCCAGGGATGCCTGCCCTTCACCCACACCGGCATGCTGTAATGGCATATGCCTTACAAGAGTGACCCAAGGTCCCAAAGGCAAGATATCCTATGCTTCACACACCACTTAATGAGGCAGGGAGTCTGCTGCTACACATGGAAGAGGGTCCTATTGAAAAAAAAAATGGAGAGGAAGAAAGAAAAACAAAGGCATGAGCCTGGCATGCTAACACAGACTTGCAATCGCAACACTCAGAAGGGAACCAGGAGGATCACCGGTTTGTCAGACTCCAGCTACAGAGCACATCTTCACAGGGGATGGAGACTGAGTCAATTTTTTTTATTTATTAATTTTTTTAAGGGGCTGGAAAGAGAGCTAAGCATTTAAGAGCACATACTGTTCTTGCAAGAATCCTGGTCAGGTTCCCAGCATCCATATAGACAGCTTACATATGCCTGACTCCATCCTGGGGAATCTAACGCTTCTGGCCTTCCAGAGCATCAGCACTCATACTAGCATATTCACACGGAAATGTTTGTTTGTTTGTTTGTTTGTTTGTTTGTTTGTTTGTTTGTTTGTTTTTCAAGACAGGGTTTCTCTGTGTAGTTTTGGTGCCTGTCCTGGATCTCACTCCCAAGACCATGCTGGCCTCGAACTCACAGAGATCCACCTGGCTCTGCCTCTAGAGTGCTGGGATCAAAGGTGTGCGCCACTACCGCCCAGCCACACAGACATAATTTAAATAAATAAATGAAAAGAAAAACAAAAAGTAATGTTCAATCTATAAATGTCTCCGAGTTACATATTTTTTGTGTTAAGTTTGGGGCTCAGGAAAGCCAACTCTCTGCCACGACCATGTTTACTGTGCACAGGCCGTTGACCTGAGCAAACGGAGTGGGCACTACAAGGTTTTAGAAACTAAAGGACAAGATCAGAAACCAGGAGGACAGAAGCTGACAGACAACCAGCCTGATGGGGATGACTCCCGTCTCCTGCTGTCAAGAGTCTCTGGGAATAAGGATCCTGAGACTGAAAAGACAACACATGGTGGCAATCACTGAAGAACACACTTGGCTCATTCTGCCATGGACTCTCTGTTCTCTGACTCTTTCTCTAGACGCCTTATCCAGCACGGACTGGTCTGTCCAGGCCCTGCCCTCATCTGCTGTGCCGTCCACCCGGGGTCCACATGTCTCTGAAGTGCCGCCCTCATCTGCTGTGCCGTCCACCCGGGGTCCACATGTCTCTGAAGTGCCGCCCTCATCTGCTGTGCCGTCCACCCGGGGCCTGCATGTCTCTGAAGTGCCGCCCTCACACCTGCTCCTTCCTGTCCCCACTGTGTCCAACAGTCACGAAGGCCGGGAGAACAAAGCAGCCAATGGCGTAGCGGGAGAGGAGCAGGAGGCCGACACTAACCAAGGTCACAAGGTCGCAGAGTCACCTCCACAACCTACACCCACCTCCGGTACAGAGGATGCTACGTGATGCAAAAACAAAGGGACAAACATCTGGACGTGGTGGTCCACAGCAGAGGCTCTCACCTTTGAGTCGTAGGCTGACTGCTTGATGACCTCGGGCGCCATCCAGAAGGGAGTACCCACGAAGGTGTTCCTTTTGATCTGGGTATCCGTCAGCTGGCCAGCTACTCCGAAGTCAGCCAGCTTCACCTCTCCATGTTCAGAGAGCAGAACGTTGGCCGCTGCAGGACAACCAAGCAGGAGGACATCATTATGCGCTGTTATGCCCAGGTCACCCTGGAAGCCCATGCATGCTCTCTCCCCACGGGGCATGAGGGCTGGTGACAGGCAGGCAGAGGAGCAGGACGCCGCTGAGGAGCACAGAGTGCAGGGCTGTACCACTTCAGGTGCTTCAAAGAAATAAAACAAGAGTAGCTCTTACCTTTAATATCTCTGTGGATTTTCTTCTCTGAGTGTAGATAATCAAGTCCTTTCAGAATTTCTCGTAATATGGTAGCGATCTGAATTTCATCTAAAGGACCAGGTTCTAACTAATAAGAAAAAATGTCATTAGCCACTTAGAAGCTCTTACACAGGGTTTAAAAAACAAAATCCATGCTAAATAGGATAATCGAGATGAAAGACACTGTCACATAAAGGAGGTATTTTACCTAAACAATTGAAGTCTATTAAAGGGCCAGGCGTCACGATATACGCGCACCTTTAACCCCAGCACTTAGAAGGTAGAAAACCGGAAGATCTCTGCAAGTTCAAGGCCAGTCAGGTCTACATAGTGAAACCTTGTCTCAAAAAAACAAAAAAGTAAATCTACTAACGGATGAGGGAGAGCACTACAGAAAATGTCTGCTGGCCTGGGGTGCAGCTAAGTGGAGAGAGTACAGGTCAGGAGTCAGGAGCGGTGGACGGACGGACGGATACTTAGGCAAGGCCGCATCAGAAGAACAACAGTTTAAAAGCCCCTGCTGCCTACACCGCAGCCCTGCAGGCTGACCTTGAGGACGGGTCCATGTCACCAAAGCACAAGACGTGAGAAGTGTGGGGGCCATTCCCTCCTCAAGCTACTTCTCCCCAGACTTTCTAGAGAGATCTGCTCCCTGCTGGGGAAACACAGTAAAGGCATCCAACCCCTAAGACTTTCAGAAGTCATGAAACATTCATTCATTAGCCCTAATTGGGGGGAGTAATTGCTTTTACTCTGAAAACCTTTAAGGAGCTCCTTCTCGACTCTTTAGAATCAATTCTCATAAGAAGTTGTAAGGAAGCAATGTTACATGTACACGTCCCTGTTTAAAAAGAAACAGACAAACCTTGGTTTGGAAAGCAAAGACAAGAAAAGGGCGGATGGACAGACAGATGGACGGGAGGGAGGAAGGGAGGGAGGGAGGGAGGGAGGGAGGGAGCGGGCAGCAGACAGGATGGGACTCCGTCCACAACACACAGACATCCACCCTCACCTGTGGAGACCCTGTCACTGAGCTCGTGGCACCGAGACAGTCGGCAGACACAAAAGACCTAACAGCAGCCCTTACAGAGCAAGTCCACTAAGTCAGGAGAACCAGACTTTCTGAACAGACAGTGAAGACCCAAGCTCATACACCTCAGTCAAAGGGAAGACACGGACCTGTTTTTAAAAGAAAACTGTGTTGCCAGGTGTGCTGGCTCAGACCTGAAATCCCAGACTTTAAAAGGCAGCCCGTAACAGCAGGATTGCCCCAAGTTCCGGGCCAGTCTGGGCTCTGATGTCCTCAGACTGTCTCAAAAAATAAAACACGAGCTGGAAAGGCGGCTCAGCAGGGGCTGGAGAGATGGCTCAGAGGTTAGGAGCACTGACTGTTCTTCCAGGGGTCCTGAGTTCAATTCCCAGCAACCACATGGTGGCTCACAACCATCTGTAATGAGATTTGGTGCCCTCTTCTGTATACATAATAAATAAATAAATCTTTAGGAAAAAAAAAAAAAAAGACAGCTCAGCAGTTAAGACGATTTAGAACTCTTGCAGAGGACCCAGGGCTCAATTCCCAGTACCCACATGAGGGTTTACAATCATCTAGAACTGCAGTTCCAGGGGATCCGAAGCCCTCTGACTTCTGCAAGCACATACACGGTACACATAAATACATGCAAGCAAAGCATTGTTCACGTAGAAAATAAAATATTAAAAAATAAAAACAAAGCCAACCAATGTATCTTGCTCCCAAGGAAAGAAAAGCTAGGTGTCATTGCATGTCTCATGACTTCCTGATACCTTGTGACATCCCAAAAGTACATGCGGCCTGGCACGGTGGCAACGGAGGCCTCTGGTCACTGTGATGGCCATTCTGGTTGTCAACTTCACTACATATGGAATAAACTAAAACCCAAAAATGGCTGGGCATACCTGTGAGGGATTTCTGACTGATTAAACCATTCAATTAAATGATAAAAACTAAATCATGTTGATCCACTTCTACTCCAGATCTTTGAGATGAATCAAAGACACACCTTTGATCCAGGTCCCACCTCTAATGTGGGTCACACTTTCTTTTGGCAGTCTATATAAAGGATATGGAAGAAGGAAGGAAGCCTCTCTTTCCCTGCTTGCTCTCGCCTCTGGCAAGTCCATCCTTCACTGTCACTGGAGCCTACTTCTTAGGATTCCAGCATATACTGAAGACCAGCGGAGGCATCCAGCCTTGCAGACTGAGTAACTACTGAATTCCTGAACCTTCCATACATAGGCAGCCTTGTTGGACTAACTGGACCACAGTCTTAAGCCATTCTAATAAATCTCCTTTCTATATAGAGAGATTCATCCTGTAAACTGTTATTCTAGAGAACCCTGTCTAATACAGTCACCTGCATTACAGCCCAACTCATGCCTGATGCAGCTTTCTGGCTCATCTCGGAAGCCCACTCTGGTCTACACCATAAAGGCCAAGGCCAGCCAGAAGCCCTTCTCTTGGCTGCTTAGCATTTGAACCTCTCTGGCTTTCTTCATTCAGAACAGAAGAGAAAGTGTAAGCAACTTTCAGTTATCCTTCATGAGATTATATATGCAAAGAAAGTCAAACTACTTGTGTCCACTAGCCTGCCCAGAAATGACTGCCAATTCTAACCAAGACACTGCTCGCATGGATGAGAACAGCATGATGCGTACTGTTCCACAGAGTTTAATTTTTTCCAGTTATTTGACCAAGAGCATCATTCCTTTTTTTAAGGAAACATTCAAACCTCTGTTCCAAAGACCATGGTCTGGAACACACTGACATGCAAGGCACCTGCTTCCTCCATGTCTCTTTTTCAGTGTTCACAGAATGCACCAGTTTTAATTTTCAAAACAAAGAAAACACATTGCTCTAGTCCCTTAAGAGCAAAGGGAAGACAGAGGTGCTTCTACTTTCCTTTGCTCTCGACACCAGAACTCGGGGTCTGGGTCTGCAGCAGGACCTCACCCCAGCACAAGATCAGCAACATTTGGCCACACCAGGCAACCAGCTGCCTGCTCCTGCCTGCTGCTCAGTGTGCTTCCCCGCCGTGGTGGACTCTCGCCCTGGAACCACAAGCCCAATATAACTTTCTTAAGCTGCTTTTAATCGTGGTGTTTTATCACAGCAACAGAAAAGTAACTAGACAGGGAAAATGGACTATATCCCACCTACAGGTAACTTCTAATACCTTTCCCATCACACACACCCTCCATTCCGTCTCTGTTAGATCATCATCAGGGCACACCGTTACCCAACTACAGACCATCTTTTTGGGTTCTACAGAACCATCATTTGGCCTGATGACTTCGTTCTCACCGTGGAAATGTGATACATGTCCACACCTAATCTTGCCCCTGGACAAGACCATGGAAAGTTCTAAGTGATCATACGTGTGGGAGGAAAATCCATTTCCATCCAGAGTGCCAACAGCAGCTCACCCTACAAAACTCTATCTTGTTTTTTCAAAACCAATGTTGTACATTCATTTTTAAGTTTGTCAAACATCTCTGCCTGATTAAGTAAGCCTTTTATACAGCCAAGGTCCTTCCTAATTAGATTCCAAGGCTGGCCCTTAGGTTCTTTGGCAGCAGACTGCCTGATCTTTTAATCGGCTAAAACCTTTCCCTCAGAGCTTCACTAACCTTCACCCAGCTCCCCACTTCCTTTCCCTGTGTGCATCTCCACACAGGAGGAATGCAGGTGTGTGTGTGTGTGTGTGTGTGTGTGTGTGTGTGTGTGTGTGTGTGTG